CTAGAGAAGGCCCATTAGTTATTCAAATTACTCTTTCTTTCAATCCTTTCAATCGAGGAGATTTTAAGGTATGAAGTTTCTCAATATTTTTGGAAACATGAACAATTTTTTAAATCCTGAACATTTTTTTGGAAATTATGTACACTAAAAAAAGCGAACAAAATATGAAAGGGAACATCTTTTAAAATTCAGAAATATTTTCTGAAAACACCAACTTTTTTATAAAAACATCAACATTATTTGAATTTGTGAATATTTTTTTTAAAACGGGAACATGCGTTGAAAATTCATAAGATTTTTAGAAAATGTGTATCTTTTATACACGAGCATTACTTTTAATTTTGAATTTTTCACTAAAACATGAATATTTTTCAAATTTTGAGCATTTCTTGAAATGCCATTTTCTTTTCAGAAATCCCAAACAATAAAAAAATTTGGGCAACTTTTTGCAAGTTCCGATTTTTTTCAAAATAGCAACAAAAAATTGGAATTTTGAACATTTGTCAAAATCTGTTTTTTTTAATTCTGAGCGTTTTTTGAAATTTTTTAAATTTAAGAAATAAATTCTAAAATAAAAATAAACTTGAAAAGGTAAAAAGAGATAGAAAAAGAAGAATAAAAATAGAAGTAAAACACAGAAAAAAAGAAAAATGGGCCGGCTCATTAATCGGTGTCATGTGCGAATCCGACTATTTGTTGTCCAGTGCATAAAATAGAATTTTCCAGCTGCATGGGCAGAAAAATAAGTGGGCTGAGTTCGTTGGGCCTTAACGTGCGACCCATATACGAAAATTATTTTCCTAGCAGATAAATGCATAAGAATTTAGTACCACCTCGAATAGAAAAAAAATCGATGATGGACAGATAAAAAAAAATTGACGAAACGCCTCTTGCTTTATTAATAGGTAGTAGATATAGTTTTATATATTTATTCAGTGTATTGTCTTCACTATATGAGTTTGTAGTTGAGATGCTTTTATGACCCAAGTAGCCTCAACAAACTTATCTGCCTTGTCCTCTTTGTTGAGTATATAATTATTAGGAAGTATAGGATAGACTAGAATTTGATTCTGCCTTATCTTAGACTTCAAGTTGATCATTATACTTCTATATATATGCCCACGAGGCTTAAGCAATACAACAACTATTTCACTAAACCTCTCTCTTCTAACATGGTATCAGTCTAACCGATCCAAACCCTAGCCGTCGCCGTCGCTTCCGCTCTGCGCCGCCCCGGGAGCAGTCGGCCTCCATGACCGCCGCCGGGGGCCGCGCTGCCGTATCTAGGGTTCGTCGCTGGTTGTGTTGCCCGGTTGCCCTAGAAAGTCTTTCTTTCAATCCTTTGATCCAGGTTTTTCTCTCTGTCGTCGATCATCTTGATCGACGTTTCTCTTTTATTTTTCCGATCTATGAACAATTTGCGTCGCGCGCCGCCGCTGTTGACCGCTGCGCCTCTACTCCGACTTTGACATTGACTACACCGATGTCTTCTTCGACTAGCAGCCTCATGGGCCACACGGTGGCCGGAAACGGCCGCCGTCCGCGTCTTAGTCCGCTCGACAAGTTGTGCCGATCATCGCCGCCCCTTCTTCGATCGGACCTACAACCACCCCCGGCCCCATTCGGTTCATCCAGACTTCATCAAGCCAGCCACCATGCCACAAGAGGCATGCATGAGCCAAACCATGCGTGCACGCGCTGGCCGATGTGTGCTGATTTACTGTTGCTGCGGCCGTCCGCTGCAGCCAGGTGACCTTCACCCTCATGCACCAACGCCGCGCGGCCCTCGCGACTCTTCGTGCGCACACGCTGGGCTTCTTGTACTCCTTCGCTGGTTTGTGGCCATCTGCTATCGTGTGCATTTTCCAACTCTCACATCGCGCATAATCAGATTGATCATCCGCCCGTCTGCCGATCCGTCTCATATACATCGTGCGACCGATCTAGTTCGTCGGTTGCGCGCATCTCTACAGGTCTCGTGAAAATCGTTCCCGAGTTCAGCGCATCGATCCCTCCACCAATTGAACAACGGGCTGCCGCTGTGTCGACCCATCGGGCCGCAACACCGCTGCCCCATGGTTCTCCTCGTAACTGCATCGACTCGTGTGTGGCCGCTACATCGCCTCTTCAGGTCGTAGTGCCGCGATACACGGTCCCTGCCACCGTCCCACGCTCCGCCGCCCCTTCGGGTTGTCCCGTCGTGGCCCGCGGTTCCCACCGCCGCCCCGAGGTCTTCCCGCCGCCATCCCGACCTGCCCGCCGCCATTGCGTCGCTCCTTCGGGCCGTAGCGCTGCGGCCCATGGTTCACTCCGTCGTCATCGCACATCGACCTCCTGTGGTATGCACCGCGCCATCTCCCTCGGTGCGGGAACACCATCGTCCACGCTGGTCTTCGTCACATTGTCGGGTTCCTCGCCTACTTCGAGCATCGTCGCCGCACTCCTAACCTAGCCGCCGCCGCCACCGTCAGGCCGCCGCCACCGCTCTTCTTCGGCCGCCGCTGCCACTACCCTCGTAGCCGCCGTTGCCGCCAGTCCACCTCCTTTGTCTTCGTTCAACACCAGCCCCTCGCCAGCGTCACCGTCATCTATCCCGACCACTTCGTCTACTCCGATCACCGTTGGTGACATCGGCCCACGCCGATTGACGCGACAATTGTCGTCGAGTCTACTTCTCTGCCGGCCCTTTGACTCCTTGACATGGCGTACAGCTTGCAAGTCTCTCATCTACGCATGCCCGGTGCTGGCAACACCGATGCGTGCCTTCGTCCACGACATGTCCCCGAGCCTGGCAAGCCCGGTGCGGCACTTCGTCAACTTCGTCTTCGTCCGTCTACGCATGCTCGGTGCTGGCAACACCAATGCGTGCCCTCGTCCACGATGTGTCCCCGGGTTTGACAAACCCAGCGCGACGCCTCGTCAACACCGTCCTCCTTTCGGCGCACCACTACCTCGACACCACTGCGCCCATGAATAACTCGGCGCCTCCTTGCGCCCGAGGCTCCACGGCGACTTCCTCGACACCGGCCACTCGGATTCGACATCGACCACGACATTCTTCGCATGGCCATACCACCCTACGGTCTCGGCTATATCAACAAACGACACAAAGGGCTACCGCCTTGCTTGAGCAACCTCATCGGTTTCCACTTCAACCACGCCTTTCGTGATGCGTCGACCGTT